ATGATATTAATTATCGAACAAGGTAATATTCTTTACAACATAAATAAATAACCCATATTTATACTATTATTAATAGTTATAATTATGTGCAATAATTTATTAAATGAATGACGTTTACTATTTTATATAATTAATAATTATTTATAATAAATTATCATATGTTCATGAATTTTTTTATCATTATAAATTATTAATATATTCTGGTGAATAACCAAATAATTTGAGAAAATGAAAAGGTGCATAGTTAATGAGAGGTTATGGATCATTAATTTTATAATTAATGGTATAATTTTGAGTTATAAAAAATTGAGGGGGTAAAGAGAGGTTATGGATCATTAATTTTATAATTAATGGTATAATTTTGAGTTATAAAAAATTGAGGGGGTAAAAAAGAAAATCAAAAGTTTTGACATGGGTATTCTCTTTTATAAGTAGTATAGATTATTAGCACGTTTAAATGCACGTCCGTTTATTAGAGCTAATTGGGAGTTTATACCTTCTAATTTTTTGTTATATAAGCATTACCACTTTTACACTTGCACGTTTATGAAATAAAACTAATAGATTATATTTATTAACCATTATTACACGTTATATTAAACTGTTATTAGCACGTTATGGATAAAATTATTTTGAAATAACCGTTATTAGCATGTATTCTATAAAATTATTGGCACGTTGAATAGATTATATATATTTATTATACTAATTTGAGTTATGTCCCAACCCACTTTTATATTAAACCATTATTATCACGTTATGGATAAAATTATTTTGAAATAACCGTTATTAGCATGTATTCTATAAAATTATTAGCACGTTGAATAGATTATATATATTTATTATACTAATTTAAGTTATGTATGTATGGCTTTTGTTTATGTATAGATGCATGTATTTTATATATGTATGTATATGTTTAAAAGGGCATTTTATTTAAGTTATGTATGTATGGCTTTTGTTTATATATGGATGCATGTATTTTATGTATGTATGTATATATTTAAAAGGGCATTTTGGGAAGAAATGTTTTTAACATCCCAACCCACTTTTATAATAGTATTAGTACGTATGGCTTTTGTTTATGTATGGATGCATGTATTTTATGTATGCATGTATATGTTTAAAAGGGCATTTTGGGAAGAAATGTTTTAACATCCCAACCCACTTTTATAATAGTATTAGATAAACCGTTATTAGCACGTTATGGATAAAATTATTTTGAAATAACCGTTATTAGCATGTATTCTATAAAATTATTAGCACGTTGAATAGATTATATATATTTATTATACTAATTTGTGTTGGCCTTCTTGTTTTGATGGTGATTTAGCAAACAATTTACATCGAATGTTGTTTGTCTAGTGTTTGTGTTTTCATATTTATTCTAGGCAAACAACGAGTTAGAGGATGGATGGAATAGCGCTTCAACGATAATATCAAATGGAGGTTGGCAGAATAGCAGGTGAAGCTATGTGCAATTCAAGTTAAAGATTCAAGTTCAGCTTCATCCGCAAGTGTACCAAGTCGAGCTTATTAAAGATCAAGATCTAGCTTGGGTAACTTAGTTTAGGTTTTATATTATGTGTGTTAAATATCTTAAGCTCAATATCATATACACACAAGTATTTGGTTTCTACGTATATATATAGTTATATATATACATGCATGGTTTTGGGTTTTCATGTTTACAAATATGAAATATTTATTATTTTGATTTGGTTTAACTACTTAGATATAAAACAAATATATTTTCATATACATACTCCTATGTTTCATTCTCTAATGTATTTGTTAAAATATCATTTTCTTAGTTTTTTGGACTTAACAATAATCATATACATATTTTATTAAGTCTACATAATCATTGTGCAAAGTTTTAAAACATGGTTTAGACAAAATGTCAAAATTCACATGTTTACATTTTCATGTTTTGGCCTATTTTGTAAAATGATGATATTTTTTATTTGGGAAGTCCTTTTTGGAAACTAGTCATTGTAGCATGTTTATTATCATGTCTACAATCATTCCCCAAAGTTTTATATTTTTTAGAATTTATTTGATATTTTTAAACAGTGTTTTAAAATCAGCAAACAAATTTTCAAAACCTATATTTCATGTATCAGTTCACGGTCGACCTCCACGGTCGACCGCGCCTGAGTCTTTTGCATAGTGTGTAGCAGAAACTTTCGCAGTTGACCGCCATGGTCGACCGTCAGCTGAGAATTTCTCGTGGTCGACCGTCGCGGTCGATCGTCGAACTCTCTGGACTTTTCTGTTGATTTTTTGTTGCTCGCGATCGACCGCCGCGGTCGACCGCCACCCCCCCCCCCCCCCGCCGCTCTGTCAGATCAGTCCCAACGGCTAGTTTTCAGAGCCGTTGCAGTATGGTTTTTTGGTCTTTTTCTTGGCTTTCTTTTGGCTTTGGGGTTTGTATAAATACCCCATTTTACCTTCAGCTCTACATACAACAAGAGAATGTTTTAAAGTGTTTTAAAAAGAGTTTAAGCTTACTTAAGGGTTTGGTTTATGAAGAAAGTTTTACAAGAGCTTGAGGAGATTATCAATTGTATTTTGGGTATTCAATCAATCTCTCTCTCTTGTCATCTAGAGAAGTTTTCCTAAACTCAACTCTATCTTTTATTTATAATTATTTGTTGATTATCATTTCTATTAAAGCTAGTTTTATATTGAGTTTAGATTTGATTTTATCTCATTGTTACACACACACACACTTGAGCTTATTGTATTTGCATTATATTGAGTTTAGATTTGATTTTATCTCATTGTTACACACACACACACTTGAGCTTATTGTATTTGCATACATAGTATATTAGGGTTGTGAGAGATTGTAACTTTAAGTTATGCTTAATTGAGTTCTCCCTTGTATGAGAGAACAAATCATTTATTGTTACATTGTGAGATTGTAAGGTTTTCGATGAGCTAGAAAACCGAGTGTGTTGTGAAGTTTTCGGTGAACTAGAAAACCGAGTGTGAGGAGTGAACGTTGTTCGGTGAGCATTGAAAACCTACACTGTGAGTTGTAAACGTTATTCGGGTGAGCGTAGAAAACCCGGTTATGATAGTGGATTTCTCCTCGGGAGTGGGGAGCGGAGACGTAGGACGAAAGGTCCGAACTCCGTGATCATATCGTGTGTTTGAGTTTGCTTTGGCACACTTAATCTTATGTTTATATTTCTTGTCGCCATTGTGCATTGCTCATTATTATATCATCCACTATCTTGTTTAGATTATTTACCCTTGTGTTGTTTATACATCATTACACATACATTGCCTATATCTCATTATTAGGATATATCTTGTTGTTCATATTGCTTATCCTAGCTCATATATATTGTTGTATTTCACACTTGCTAGGATAACTTGTTAATTAGTTTTTAATTGGCATAAAATCGGATTAGATTAGCATAAGCTAGGATAACTTGTTAATTAGTTTTTAATTGGCATAAAATCGGATTAGATTAGCATAAGACCCTAATCATCCCCCCTCTAGGGTCCAACAATTTGAGTTATGTATGTATGACTTTTGTTTATGTATGGATACGTGTATTTTATGTATGTATGTATATGTTTAAAAGGGCATTTTATTTAAGTTATGTATGTATGGTTTTTGTTTATGTATGGATGCATGTATTTTATGTATGTATGTATATGTTTAAAAGAGCATTTTGGGAAGAAATGTTTTAACATCCCAACCCACTTTTATAATAGTATTAGATTAGCGGGTGAACGAAAGGGAGCTAGGATGAATAACTTCGCCTTTTAAATATTCCCAAACAAGATGAATAGTTACCCTAACTTCCATTCTCATTTATTCCCCTCAATTCAAACAAGCCCTACAAACAGGTGAAATGATAGGTTAAATTAAATAATATTATGTATAAAACTCTTAATTAATTATTTCAAATATTAATTAAAACTCATTGTGATTTATATTTTACTCCAACAACACAACCCTCCTCATCTTTTGTCATGTCTTACAAGTACAAATAACGATCGAAACACAACATTTATCGCAGCTCTAGTTTTAATTAATGCTTAACCAACACTTGAATGATATGTGTTTGACACGTGGGTTTTAAGTTTGGGTTATTTAGATATCAATGCCTCAAATCTTCACTAATTCTATATCAATATCTCAAATCCTTGAAGTTGCTCAGGGCCGGCCCTGAGATTTTGGTGGCCCTTGGCGAAAATAAAAAATGAGGCAATTACATGGGCCCTCAGCAATTACTCCTACAGTAAAGGCAAGGCAATTATGATATAAATGGTCATATAATATACTCATATACGGAGTATTAAATGGGCCCTCAGCCCCTCACCTAATTAAGTACTCCAAGCTCAGTAATCAAAAAATAAATGCTAACGGGCTGCTGCACATTACATATTACTACTAAAGATATCTATATAAATTGGAGGCCCCCCTATGTTTGGGGCCCTGGGCCGTCGCCCCCCCGCCCAGGTCCAGGGCCGGCCCTGTTGCTCATGAGTCTTATTTCGGCCGTTTATGACCGAATTGCAAGACCCACACGATTTGAGGACTTATGAGCAATTTCTAAAGATTTGAGCGACTAATCTATTCCTCTATACAAATGGGAGAATCAAAGATTCACTGTTCATGCTACAGTAAATACTACAATAAATATTAAAACGACATTACTACTGTAGCACAAGGTATACTGTAGCATTTTAAAAGAAAAATTATTGTAACAGAAGCGAGACCTATAGAGTTCTTTGAAAATACTATAACATTAATACTGTAGCATGTGTATACTGTAATAATTTAAAAAAATAGGATACTGTAGCAATTAAAAAAAATGCTATAGCATTTAAAAACATGATTAATGTAGGGTGAAAAAAAAATTATCGCTGTGCTTTGCACTTACAGCACACTAGTACATGGAATATTTGAAGTTGTGAGGGAGTAATTATCTGAATGACCCTTTCAATTGCCTTATTCACTTTTAACCTTCTTATTTCCTAAAATCGAAAACTGCCTCTTGGCGGAAATCCTCTCCCTACGCCTTTGCCGCTGTCGAGACTCTTGATTTTGGACCGTGGAGTTTCCAAAAACCCTTCCTCTAGTTTCTCTTCTCGATCCTCAACCTTGCTTCATCAACCAAGAGTTCGCCATTGCCGACGGCTTCGAGCTCGGGGTAAGCTTCGTCTCTCCTATACCATTTATCTTCTCAAGCGAGAAACCCTATTTTCTCTTGTCTTGTTCGCTCTCTTGCGTGGTTGATTGAAATTGGAGTTTATTTTAAGGACAAATTTTAAAAATAGACTCGTTTTGACAAATAACTGCAAATTTCGACCTATTTGAAACTTATTTGTTAAAACCGACCCAGTTTTAGCCAACTTTTTGACAAAAAAAAACTCTAAAATAGCTGAATCTGTGTCGGTTTTGACAAAAAATCTCTAAAACTTCGCGGGACTTCAACTTGAGGTCCCGTGAAGTTACGCAGCTTAATTAGCTGCTTGCTAAACTTCATAGGACTTCAAGTCTTGTGAAGTTTCAGAGATTTTTTTTTGTGAGAATCGACCTAGTTTTAGCCCGATCGCTGAAAGTAGGTTGATTTTCACAAATAACTTCAGAAGAGATCGAATTTTATAATTAATTTTGTAAATAGGTATATTTTCAAAATTTGTCCTTATTTTGTTTAATTCTCCTTTTCATGGCGTTTCAGATAAGTTTACAATTAATATTTAGGACAAATTTTTATTTTAGACCTCTTTAGACACTTATTTATAAAAAATAATCTATTTCAAAAATATTTGCTAAATTCCCGCTGAAATTGTGTCGAATTTGGTGGAAAAGAATTTAAAAAACTTCCCGTGAAGTTTAAGCCCCCTCAAGTGTCGTGAATCTTCAGGCGATTTTTCAGTGGCGAAGAAATCGAGAGAAATGGCACCGATCACAGTCGGCGACTCTATCCCCGAGGGAACCCGGGCGTGGTCCGACCAGAACAATCAGCTGCAGCAGCTCTCCATCCATTCCCTTGCCCAGGGGAAAAAGGTCATTCTCTTCGGCGTCCCCAGCGCCTTCACCCCTACCAGCAGGTAAATCGTATAATTTAGGGCTTGTTTGGATTGAGGGTAATGGGGGTGAGGGGAAGGGAGGAGAACCATTCACCTCCATTCACCTTGTTTGGGAACACTTAGGAGGTTAAGTTAATTCACCCTAGTTCCCCTCACCTTGTTTGGGAACACTTAGGAGGTTAAGTTAATTCACCCTAGTTCCCCTTGGTTCACCCTCTAATAGTATAAAAATTGTTACCCCCACCCTAGTTCCCCTTGGTTCACCCTCTAATAGTATAAAAATTGTTACCCCCAAATTGGGGTGTAACCAAGAGGAAGGGAACTCCCTTCCCTTCCCTTTCTTTCACCCAGTTTCCCTTAACTTCCCTTCACCCCCTACAAATCCAAACAGGCCCTTAGGGTTTTCTTTTCCCCCTTTAGTTTTGGATCTTCATATGACTCTAGAAGAACACAATTTGAGGAAAGGAGGTGACTTTTCTAAATTTGGATTAATTTAAGAAAAGAAATTTTTCTTTTTTAATTTTTATCTTTATTTATTTATTAACTTTTTGGCAGTATGCAGCACGTGCCGGGTTTCATCTCTAAACCAGAGGAGCTTAAATCCAAGGGCGTTGATGAGTCCTCCTTGTTAGCGGTATGCATAAATCTCTTATTTATTTTAACCATTGCACTTTTGTTGTGAGATACTCCTGCTGGGAATTAAGTTTCACGGGACTTCAAATCCCATGAAGCTTATAACTTCACCGGACCTCAAGTCTCGTGAAGCTTTGGTAAATATTAATTAACTTGCTTATAGGAGCTTAAACTTTCAAGTCCCGTGAATTTTTTTAAGTTTATTTTGTCAAATTCGACCCAGTTTTAGCCAATTGGCTGAAACAGGGTCGAATTTGACAAATATTTTTGAAATAGGTTGTTTTTTGCAAAGTTTCTAAAGAGGTCTAAAACGAAAATTTTAAAGAAATACATGAAACAACAAAGAATCAGCCAGACAGATTGGCGGTCGACGGCCGCGGTCGACCGCTAACGTGCACGAAGGCCAGTAGGATTCGGAGCTGATGGCGGTCGACCGCCGCGGTCGATCGCGGATGACTGTAATCGATTTAAGTCTCGGGTTTGTGGTTTGGTCGACCGCCGCGATCGACCGCGAAACTTGCGCGGTCGACCACCACGGTCGACCGCAAACTAGATTGGGCTGGGCTTTTGGTTTTTGACCTGGTTCGTTTTTGAGTTGATATATAACCCTAAACCTGATTAATTAGGGTAGAGCAAGGACGATTTTGAGCAGCCTCTGAGAGAGAATTATTGCATCCAATTGTGGGAGAGTTGTGAGAGATCTAGAGCTTTATTTTAGGGTTTGATCGGTAAAATTTGTAACTCTACTTATATTCTCTGATTTCTAATAGTAAGAACTCCCCCCTCCTTGCCCTGTGAACGTAGATAACTTACCGAACCACGTAAATCGTTTATTCTTGCTGTGGTTGTGTTTTGCTTATTGATTGTGGTTTATCTCGAGTTATTGTTCGTGTTGCACAAGAAGCTTTCGTCGCGCACAACAATTGGTATCAGAGCCATAATTGGTACCAGACAGGAGAGATATCACAACAGGTGGAGGATGATGTGACTCTACTCACTCCAGAGAGCACTATATCCATTGAGGCTCCTACAGAGGTGACACTGGGAGAAGATGAGATGACAGCCAGACAGATAGATGATACAGTGGATTATGGAACTCAGGAACATGGTCATGTTCAGGGATCCATTGCAGCAGATAGACCGAGGAGAGAGATTCGTCGGTCAGCTAGATATAATGATGTCATGGTCGCATATGTATTATCAGTGGAGGTCGTTGATGATATGGTTCCAGCCACATTCAGGGAGGCAGAGTCTAGCCCCGATTCGATTAGGTGGAGGGAAGCTATAGAGGAGGAGATGCGGTCTCTTCAGAAGAACGATACTTTGACACTTGCACATCTACCCAAGGATAAGAAAGCTATTGGTTGTAAGTGGATATATGCGAAGAAGGAGAGATCTTCTATTGGGGACATTCGGTTCAAAGCCAGATTGGTTGTCAAGGGATATGCACAGCTTGAGGGTATTGATTATAACGAGGAATTCACCCGTTGTGAAACATTCGTCGATACAGATTTTATTGGCGTTGGTGGCACAGTTAGATTTGGATTTGGTCCAGATGGATGTGAAGGCAACCTTTCTACACGGTGATTTAGATGAGGAGATTTACATGACACAACCCTTGGGATTCAAAGCTGTAGGAAAGGAAGATTTAGTTTGTAAGGTGAAGAAGTCTCTTTATGATTTGAAGCAGTCACCAAGACAGTGGTATAAGAGATTCGACGGTTTTATGATTGGCCGAGGGTACACAAGGAGCCCATATGACCCATGTGTTTATATGCATAAGCTACATGATGGTGAGCACATATATTTGCTTTTATATGTTGACGATATGCTTATTGCTTCCAGGAATTCTTCGGCTATTTAAAAGTTGAAAGATGAGCTGTCATCCGAGTTTGAGATGAAGGATCTTGGAGAGACAAAGAAGATATTGAATATAGAGATCGAGAGAGACAGGGTGAAAGGGAGTTTGAAACTTACACAGAAAAGCTCCTTGCAGAAGATGTTAAAGAAATTCAGCTTTGACGGCAATGCAAAAGCAGTTAGCACACCATTGGCTCCCCACTTTAAGCTTTTAGCGTTGATGTCACCTGTTTCAGTTGAGGACAGAGGTTATATGTCGAAGATCCCATATGTCAGTGCAGTAGGTAGCTTGATGTATGCGATGATATGTACGAGGCCAGATTTGTCACAGACCGTGAGCATGATATCGAGATACATGCACGACCCTGGGAAGGATCATTGGGAGGCCGTGAAGTGGATTCTACGATATGTTCGAGGCACCATGGATGTTGGTTTAGTATTCCAGAAGGATGAGAAAAATAGGTAGGATTGTATTGGATATGTGGATTCAGATTATGCTGGAGATCTTGACAAACACCGGTCTACATCAGGTTATGCTTTTACATTGGCATGTGCACCTGTATGTTGGCGATGCACGCTTCAGTCCACAGTGGCTCTCTCTACTACGGAGACAGAGTATATGACAGTAACTGAAGCTATTAAAGAGGCTTTATGGTTGCGTGGATTATTGGAGGACTTGGGGATCGCTCAGGAGACCATTCAGATATATTGTGATAGCATGTCGGCTATCTATTTGGCGAAGAACCAGGTTTATCATGCACGCACGAAGCACATCGATGTCAGATTCTACTTTGTACGTGATATTTTGGATGATGGAGACGTCATATTGGAGAAGGTCCACACGAATGACAACCCTGCAAATATGTTGACCAAAGTTGTTTCAGGAGTAAAATTTGGTCATTGTTTGAAGCTTTTGAACATCCTTCAGTACCAAAGTTGTTTCAGGAGTAAAATTTGGTCATTGTTTGAAGCTTTTGAACATCCTTCAGTGCTGAGGCTTTTGGAGGCCATTTGGGTGAACTACGTTCGGCTTGATTCCTTGGGCAAGAGGATACGTAGGCAATCTTTCAGATGCAGCCGGTTTGATCTGTTAATTCAGATGGGAGGAGATCGCGTTTCAGCTCTAGTTTGGTTCCTTGACTTGTTGAGAGACTATTGGATGATTTGGTGTCGGTTCAGTTTTGGTGGAAACATTCGCTGAGGTGGAGAATCGAAGAAATGCAGGAAACATCAAAGAATCAGCCAGACAGATTGGCGGTCGACCGTCGCGGTCGACCGCGAACGTGCCCTGCGCGGTCGACCACCGCGGTCGACCGCAAACTGGATTGGGCTGGGCTTTTGGTTTTTGACCCGGTTCGTTTTTGAGTTGATATATAACCCTAAACCTGATTAATTAGGGTAGAGCAAGGACGATTTTGAACAGTCTTTGAGAGAGAATTATTGCATCCAATTGTGGGAGAGTTGTGAGAGATGTAGAGCTTTGTTTTAGGGTTTGATCGGTAAGATTTGTAACTCTACTTGTATTCTCTGATTTCTAATAGTAAAAACTCCCCCCTCCTTGCCCCGTGGACGTAAGCAACTTGCCGAACCACGTAAATCGTTTGTTCTTGCTGTAAGTTGTGTTTTGCTTATTGGTTGTGGTTTATCTCGAGTTATTGTTCGTGTTGCACAAGAAGCTTCCGCCGCACACAACAAATTTGTCCACTATTTAACAAATGTATGCATTTGATAGAATGCAGTTTGCTTTCGTGTTGTCGCATGTTCATCTTCAGATTCCTCTTGTTCTTGATTCCATTATATTAGGGTTTTGTAATGGATCTTAACCGCAAAATATTACGTCCACGATGATGTTTTTGATTACTTTGATTTCACATCAGTAATTACTCTAGATATCTACAATACCGATACATGGAGACGTAATGTGCCAAAAATCAGGGTTATGGATTCCTCATGGATAGATTAGCTTACCATTCCATCATATATGTCATGGAAAATTGTAGTTTCAAGTGTGAATCCTATTGTACTTTTATATTCACAACATAATACAAAAAGAATCCATTAATTAAATGTTATACTCATCAGGGATAAAGAGACTCAAAACGAAAATGGTCTGTAGATATACACTACTCTAATACTGGATATGGACTAGATTCTTATATATAGAAGTGTCCAGCAATAATCGTTTTAGTATCTGTGGGAATTGTATTGGGTAAGTAATCAATATGAACATGACTTCCTCCTAGAGTAATTGGTCCAAGGGTGAGTGCCACTACCACCACCCCTGTCGATAACATTTCAGCATGCTTGTGTATACATCTAAATTACATTACTGAGATGGGAAGAAGGTACAATTAGATAATGGATAAGTAACACTAGCATTTTTTTTATTTTGCAAGTGTAATTATTATTATTTATTATTATGTTTGTGAATTTACGAAATCACACCACATGATCAACTATTTTACATGCATATTCAGTTATCACATTAACACTAAAAGTTCCACGCCTGGGATTATTCTTTGTACTTACATCATATGAAGATGTGCTCATGCCAACTGCCAAGCATCATCATATTGTACGTACTTACTGTAGTCAAGGTATTGGGTGGTCCATCACACGTAACATCCATGTGCTGAATTTACAAGTCTCTTTAATAGTAGAAGGTTTTCAAATCTCATCTTGCCAACTTGTGTTATCGTTCTTTTTTTATAGTGCATGCCAAAGGAAAAATGGTGTTTGTTGATCCTGTTGATGTGATGTATAGGGCACGAGTGGGTTCAGTTCTGATGCTGAACAGTTCTTGAAGATTAAAGTTTAAAGTTAAGTGTTGTGTTCTATGTTACCTGGGTACTCTAATATGAAGCCATACCGGTACCCGACACGTACCCATGCCCGTAATATCCATTCCCCTTGGACGCTCATTGCATATATGCATACATTTATTTGTGTGTGCACTCAATTATACAATACATGTCTTAATTTAAAACACTTCTTTGGACTTATATCCTACACTTCACATCCACCTCCTGAAACGCGTTGGACATAAGTCAGCTTTCGAATTATGATTTTGAAAGATCGTTTTAAAGTTTAGTTCAAAAGCTAGTGATTTTCCAATTTATAATCCGCATAATAAAAGAAACACAAATTTGCTATAGGAATATTAATTATCATCCTTGTTCTCATATAAATTATTAATTCCATGAGTATATAAATATTTACATAGCTGTGTCCCCGTTGCCTTTTACAAATTTACCATGTCCTGTACCCGCACCCGCACCCGTACCCATGCAACATAGGATGTGATAAATGCAAGCATGAAAGTAAGATATGTTTATCTGTTTCCTTCTCCAATCTACTTCTGGAAAATCTTCTGTCAATACCTGATCTGTTTTCTTTTTCCTTCAGTACGATGTATCACAGGTCATGTTTGGTGCATGAGAAAGACAGGAATAGAAGTTTAAGTAGTTGTCCATTGGTTTTACAGTAAATAGTGTTTGAAGGTTATTTTTCGTTGTCCCCTCTTTGCACACCATCATTTCCGCATTTACTGTTGCCAATGCTTTATATGAGGATATTTTCCTGTATATATTTTATGGAGGGGAAAGGCCTAACCACATTAATGACATATTTACTGTTGCTGATGTTTTATATGATGATATTTTCCTGTAGATATTTTGTAGATATTTTGTGGAGGGGAAAGGCTTAATCACATATGTACCAAGATATCACCACCTTTTGGATTGCTGCACTATAGCTGAGTATTGGTGTTGATATGCTGCATATGCTTTATGCTTGTGCCTTAGGGCGATAGAAGCAGACAGAGAGTTTGGATCGAAAACATTAAACTAGGTATGATTTTGCCTTTATGCATTGATATCATTGTTTGAGCATCAAATTTCATATTGAATTTATTGGATCACGCTTTGTTAGTGGTCGGCCATGTCTTCATCTAGTTGGGCCTTGTTATCATGGTCACGGCTAAAGTTCTTCATCGCATGCAACACCTTTCTCTTGCTTCCTTTCATTTGTTTCCGCCATAAAATCAAATGTGCATAATGCAGACCACTGGTTTTAATATAAAAAGAGATTAGCCTATAGGACTCTTATCATAGCTGTGGAAAGATTACTGAGTGGGTACCTACAGCTGTGTAAGGATTTAACACCTTACTACAATGGGTACCTAACTCCAAAATATTGCAGGACCATAATGGGGATTCAAGCATTCCTAGTAAATCTGATGCTTGTGTTTGTGCATTATTGGAACTTACATCTCTCTAAGTTTTGTAGATCTCTGTTAAAAGAACGAATCAAGTTGTAGCTGCAAGGGCAGCATGCTGATCTAGAGCAATAGACATGCTATGCTCAATAGGGATGATTGACTGCTCTAGATAATAAAGATGGAGCAAGGTGTTCTTCACTTTCTCCCAAAGGATAATAAAGATGTAGGATTTCTTTCAATCTTGCAGGATCAATTTTGGCTATATCGCTAGCTCTTCCATTTGTGTTCTATATCTCCTCTTCTTCCTATAAGTTGATTCACATACACAATTGACATTCATAGTTTTGATTTCTATGTTGAAATATAGAATTTCATATCTCCTGGTTTTACTACATTCATAAGTCTCACAAGCTAAGCTACCTTGACTTTGGGGCCAAGTCTTTTCAGCTTTGTTAAATGTCTCCTTTTCAGTAATCTTGGCTACAATCTCTTGGTTTGCGAAAGGAGAGTATTTGGAAAGCTCACCTGAGGGACGGCTTAAATTAAGGAACATAGCAGTAGTGTTCCAGAGATACCCTTTTGGCTTCACAGTTTTGTTTTCTCTGCCAGTCATGACGGAATTGTGAAATGGCAAATATCGATAGGACCTAATTTTGAAGGAGTTAACGTTTCAACCTTTTGAATGCATACTTGAAGAACCAGAGGAGCTTCCTGAAACTCGTATTGTGGTGAATAAAGAAAAAGAAATGTGTCATTATTGTTCAAATCTTTTGATCTGGGTATAGGCACTAGAATGAATCCAATAAAATCTAAATCAAACACGAAATATGGGAATTGTGGTTTGTTAGTTTTAGGTTTGAAACAGGTTCATGCTTGTTCTAGTTTTAAATCTATGGAAGTGGATAAGTTAACAGATGAAAGACTGTTACCTCTTGGCTCTTGTAGTTTTTGCCTTTTGGCCTTTTGTCAAAGCTGAGCCTATATGAATAATTTAAGTGACAGCCTATATCAAATTTTTAAATGGCCATGTCAAACAATTGGACAAAGAGCGAGTGAGCTTCAATTGGAGGAAAGTAAAATTAATCAAAAGTTCCAGGAAAGCTCGTGTTAGGGTGGTGTACACACATATACGTATGTTTGCACAAAGAAGGAGATATGTATACTTGGGTCCTTTGAAAGGATTTGTTGCAGTGACATCCATTTTTATAATCTACTCCTTTAAAGTTGGTTTACATCATAAAAGTCTTCGAAACCAAAGTCACATATCTTAACTTTTCCGCTTATGCAGCAAGCACGTACAAATAGATGTCCAAAAACTGTATTTGGTGCACATCTACACTTTTAGAGCATATGAATATTCATCAAATGTTGATCTTAGTCTGAACACATAAGAACTCTTGCAAACCAGTTTTTAATAAATCTCGGACATTGTACATTTTTAACCTAACCAACTTGCTATCTGCATCTTGCATTTTGCACCTTGTGGTGGATGTGCAAAAGAATTTTAAAAAGGCATTTTGAAATGATTGAGATAAAATTTAACGAAGGGGATTTTTCATATGAATTTCCAAATGTTGCAGTTTAATGGGAACTATATCTCTCCAAATCCTATGGTAATAGGGAACTACGTATTATATTTATAGATTTGGCCCTTTCAGAAAGGACATGAAGCAAGCTCTTCCTATTTAAATTTGATGATAGAAAACTTAGTTGAAGACCCACTTCACTCAAGTTCATTTACATCTTTAAGGTTGAACTACATCAAAATATTCCTTTCTTTCATTTCTCATTTTCTTTCAAGATTCCCATTTGACTACATAACTGCCAAACAAAAAAGTGGGGCAAGAAACAGCTACAGGATTACTAAACTTACTCCAAGCACAAGTCAGTTTCCATCCACAAAACAAATATTTGGTTCTAGAAATTCACAAAATTACTAAGTCCTGAACTAAGAAAATTATCCGTGGAATGGGGTTTCCCATTTTTTTCTTCTTCACTAACTTGCAAAGACACTATAAAATCATTTAAGATCATGGAAAGGTGCAACGAAACTGGTGGAATATGTTTGAACCCTTATGCTGAACTGGTGCTGAAGGGATTGAAGATGTACTCAAAGAAATATGTAAATGACCTTTAGATTGTGAAGAATAGAATCAGTTCACAAAATTCACCCAAAACATTACAGGAGTGTTTGGCCACATAAAGAAGAAGGACATGGTTTTGTTCATTTTGATAATTTACTTGCTATCAGTGCATTAGATAGATGCATATGCGCATGTGTGCACATTTGAGATCCTTATAGTTTCTTTTGAGGGTGGGTCAGTGAAGGGTTCTTTGACATTGTTGTAGCGGGGGTTTCACAGACACAGAAGACGTCTATATAAGAGTGGAGAATAACAACACTGAATAAACACAGTGAAGACAAAGAGAACAACACACAAAGATTTAACATGGTTCGGTCAGTATGACCTACGTCCACGGACTAGAACAACAGAGAACTTCACTGATCACAAAAGAGAAGATTACAAAGGGAGATCACTCTAATGTCTCACCAAACTCACACAAAGAAGAGAACACTCAAAGAGAACTCTCTTTTTCTTTTCTCTTCAAATCTCTCTTTCTTTTTCTCTTATGTTCTGGATCTCTGTTCGATGATCTAATCCTTCACCACTCTCCTCTATTTATAGCCTTTAAAAGGGTTGGTGGAATAGTATTTTGGGTTGGTGGAATAGTATTTTTGGGTAGGTGGCACAATGAAGTTTGGTGGGTGTTGATTCAAATTCAAAATAACAAATCTCTACCTTGACTTTGTATATGAAGATCTTCTCTTAACTCTTGCTGTCTCGCTAGAAGCCCTTTACGGGCTTAACTTCCACTTTGTTAAACTCCAATCAATTCGAGATAATGCTCGAACTTGCGCAAATGTACGAGCTTCGTCATCATACCTGTTGGATTATCTGCAGTAGCAATTTTTTCAATCTTGATGATTTTAATTTCTCTGTTAAAATGATACCTGACATCTATATGTTTGGTTCTTTCATGATACATCTGATACTTTATCAAATGTATAGTACTCTGGCTATCACAAAATATCGTAGTAATACCTTGGTGTAAGCCGAGATCTTCAACCAAACCTCTTAACTAAATGGTTTCTTTCACTATTTCTGTCACTGTCATATACTCTGTCTCTGTGATAAACAAAGCAACTGTCGATGTAGAGTTGCCTTCAAGCTAATGGCACTACCTGAAAGAGTGAAAATATAACCTGTCAGGATCATCTCTTATCCAAATCACCCGCATAATCTGAATCAGAATAGCCAAGTATTCTGTAATCTGAGTTTGTATTCTTGCCAAAATATAAATCAATATTAGTTGATCCTCTCAAATATCTAAGTACTCATTTCACAGCCTGCAATGGACTTTTCCAGGTTTATTCATATATCGACTCACAACACTGACTGCATGTGAAATATCTGGACGTGTGCAGACCATAGCATACATAATGTTTCAAACTGCACTCGCATAAGGAACACAAGATATGTTCTGCTCCTCCTTCTCAGTCTGAGGTGACAAGTCTGTTGAAAGACAAAAAATGAGCACCAAGCGGAGTTTTCACAGGTTTAGTATCAAGCATGTCAAATCTCTCCAACACCTTCTTGATGTATTTCTCTTGAGATAAGAATAAATTTTCTTTTCGTCTGTTCCTGTGGATCTTCATCCCTAAAATTTTCTTTGCTGCTCCCAAGTCCTTCATCTCAAACTCATGTTTGAGATTTTAACTCGTTAATTTCTAACATATCTTTAGCTGCAATCAATATGTCATCAACATACAAAAGAAAATACACAAAATAACCATCATTGAGCTTTTTATGATAAACACAAATATCATATTTACTTCTGGAGTAACCATGCTCAAACATGAAAGTATCAAATTTTAAATAACACTATCTCAGAGATTGTTTCAACCCATAAAGAGATTTCTTCTACCTGCACACATGATCTTTTTTACCTTTAACAATAAACCCCTCTGGTTGATGCATAAAGATCTGCTCCTCAAGCTCATCATTAGAAAAATCGTCTTTACATCAAGTTGCTCAAGCTCCAAATTAAAATAAGCAATCATGGCAAGTAACACGCGGATTGAGGAGTGTTTTACAACTGGAGAGAATACTTTATTGAAGTCCACACCTTCGGTATGACTATAGCCTTTAGCTACCAAGTGTGCCTTGTATCTTACAGAATCTGTATCTAGAGTTTCTTCTTTCTTCTTGAACACCCATTTACAGCCAACGATCTTCTGTCCCCTTAGTGGTTTTACTAACTCATGTCTGATTCTTGTGAAGAGACTCATCTCTTCAATCATCATAACAGTTCAATTTACAGCCTTATTTTCACTAATAGCCTCCTCATAGGTAAAAGGTTCTGGAATCTCAATCGACTCTGTTATACTCAAAGCATAAGCAAACATGTCTGCATAACGTTGAGGAGGTCGGATTTGCTTTTTTATTCTCTCGGTAGTAATATTATACTGTTGTTCTTGCGATGTATCAGCATCTGAAGTTGAACATTTCGTAGTGTTAACTGGTTCAACATGAGCGCCTTCAAGCACTCTATTTAAAATTGAGCTCTCTAGCTTCACCTGCTTGCTAAACTCCCTTTTACTACATCTGGTATCAATAACAAAATCCTTTCTCGGGTGAAGTATGGATTTCTCATCAAAAGTAACATCTCTACTAATAATAAACTTAGGTGATTTAGGATCAGAATATCACAATCTATATGTCTTCACCCCAGTAGCATATCCTAAAACGATAGTTTTCTTTGCTCTGGGTTCAAACTTACCATCATTAACATGAAAATAAGCGGAGCTACCAAATACTCTTAAATGAGAGTAATTAGCAGGGGCACCAGATCATACTTCTTCTGGAGTTTTAAAATTAATTGCTATAGAAGAAGATTTGTTTATCAAATAGCAAGCTGTATTGACTGTCTCAGTCCAAAAGTATTTTGACAAATTAACATTAGAGAGCATGCACCGAGCTCTCTAAAAGTGTTCTGTTAATTCTTTCTGCAACTCTATTTTACTGTGGTGTATGCCGAACTGTACGGTGACGCACAATACCTTCATTCATGCAAAATTGGTCAAACTCTGCGGAACAAAACTTCATCTCATTGCCTGTTCTGAGGCGTTTCAATTTTTTTGCTTCTCAATCATAACCTTCCATTGCTTGAATGTTACAAACACATCATTCTTATGCTTCAAAGGATACACCCAAACTTTTTTGAAATAATCATCAATTAATGTTAGCAAAAAACGAGCTCTATTTTTTGATAGAACCTGAGAAGGACCCGAAATATCTGAATGGATGTAATCTAAAGTACCATTGGTTCTATGGACACTGGTACTAAAGGAGACTGTGGTGTTTGTCGAAAATATAACGCTCACAAAAGTCTAGCTTACTAATTTTTTGACCACAAAGCAGACATTGTTTGCTCAATACATCTAGTCCCCTCTCACTCATATGCCCTAATCGCACACGTCACAAACGTATAGTGTCAGAATCTGAATCCTCTGAGGATAACACTGCTACAACACCTGTCACTGTACCGCCTTCAAGCATATAGAGGGTATTTACCTTCTTTCCTTTCATCACAATAAGAAAACCTTTATTAACTCTCAAAACTCCACCTTCAACTAAAAAATTAAAACCATTTGAGTCAATGATGCCTAAAGAAATGAGGTTCTTCTTTAACTCTAGTATACGTCAGACATTGCTCAATGTTCTAATAATATCATCATGGGTTTTAATCTTAATTGATCCGATACCAACAATGTTGCAAGACATGTTATTTTCCAACAAGACATTCCCATCATCAATAGACTGATATATGACAAACTAATCCCTATGCGGACACATATGGTAGGAACAATCTGAATCAATAACCCACTCATCTTGTGAATGAATATTTAACACTAACTGAAAGAACTTCATGTGAAGTAGAAAACTCTTCAGTTACAGTGGCAACTAAAGGTTTCACCTCCCCAGACTTTGATTGTGAATTATCCTTTGCTTTAAGTGTTGGACAATTAGGTTTTATATGCCTATACTTGTGACAGTAATAACATCAACATTTTTTCTTAGCTTGGACTTTGATCTAGACATATTTCTAGATTTGCCTCTACCATAAACACCCTTTTTACCTTAAGCTTGATCCTCTCCTCCTACGACAGATACTTTTTATCTTAACTCTTTTGAATATAAGGCTGATTTGATATCCTCCAAAGAAAGTGTATCTCTACCGTATAACATGCTATTAACAAAATTTTCATAGGAAGGAGGTAATGAACATAACAAAATAAGGGTTTGATCTTCTTCATCAATTTTAACATCAATGTTCTTTAAATCCATAAGAATAGTGTTAAGTTTATCTAAATAGTCTTTAATCCGCATACCTTCCTTCATGGGAAGGGTGAAGAGGCGTTGCTTCAAGTAATACTTGTTCGTTAGAGATTTCGTCATGTACAAGCTCTTCAACTTGAGAAACAAGCCGGCGGCGGTATCTTCATTGGTAACCTCCCGCAAGACCTCATCGACCAAACAGAGCTGTATGATACTATGCATTTTTATCTCCAGCTCTTCTTTCTCATCATCAGGCATAGATTCCGACAACTTATCCTTTCCGGACAAGATTTTGAACAACCCTTGTTTTCTAGGAGAGCCACCATTTTTACTATCCACAAACTGAAGTTGTTTCTCCCATCGAATTTTTTCACTTTATATTTTGCAGAAAACATCTTGAAGCCCACTAGAACAGTAATTGTAATTATGAACAGTAACCACACTTGTGAACAGTGTCGTACTTATGAATAGTAACAGTACTTATAAATAGGACCGTACTCGTGACTAGTATCTAGTGCCTTTAAAGAAAATGATAATCTAACTTATTTTCTGATGTGAAGTATCCATTTTAGTGGTAGCCACATAACATACGATAAGTAGATGCACGTACTCTAAGCCAGGCTCTGATACAAGTTTGTTGTAGTGGTGGGCTTCACAGAGACAGAAGATGTCTATACAAGAGTGGAGAATAACAACACTGAATAAACACAGTAAAGACAAAGAGAACAACACAATGATTTAACGTGGTTTAGTCAGTATGACCTACGTGCATGGGCGAGAACAATAGAGAACTTCACTAATTACAAAAAAAAGATTACAAAGGAAAATCACTCTAATGTCTCACTAAACTCACACAAAAAAGAGAACACTCAAAAGAAAACTCTCTTTTTCTTTTCTTTTCAAATCTCTCTTTCTTTTTCTCTCTGTTTTGGATCTTTGTTCGATGATCTAATCCTTCACCACTCTCTTCTATTTACAGCCTTCAAAAGGGTTGGTGGAATAGTGTTTTGGGTTGGTGGAATAACGTTTTTGGGTTGGTGGCACAATGAAGTTTGGTTGGTGTTGAATTCAAAGTCAAAATAACAGACATAATGATAACCGGTAAGTTTTCATTAACACAGGATCTTTCTAGTCCTTTAAACCATTTAGCTTATGCGCCTTACCTTACCATTGTACTGTATTCAACCCTATGTTGCATGGCTACAGATCCATGTTATTCCACAAGTTAACTGATTGCACTGAGCATTTTCAGTTACCAGAATGGGTAAATATGTTTTTCAGTTAAGTGTAGGGTTCAAGTTCAGTTTAACGAGCTTGTGGAGAGAACATTTTCAAGACAATAAGAAAAAAGGAGGAATAGCTAGAGGACCACTGAGCCACAAGTGGTTGAAAGCAACATGTTGTACGGGCTGTGTGCTGGATGCCTCATATGGACAGAATAGGAACATCTAAGAATGGAATCTATCCATCTTATGTCAATGAAAACTGTACGAAAAGAGAATAATGGCTTCTTGTAGCCACCTTCCTCCATGAGCTTAAACACGTAGGCCATCTTCCGTATTGCTCCCCACCAATTTTTCGTCAGATATCCAGAAAAGAGAAACAAATGCTGTGTTCTCCAGCTTCACTGTTGGCGACGTCTTCGATTATTCTTGGGTATCTATGAAAGCCATGGAGGAAAAAGGAATACGGCTCATTTGTACAGACCTGTACACTTTCTGTCTTTGTCATCATCTAAACATTGATGCAACCATCCAACTTTTATAGACATTCCTTTACCTGCAGCTGTGCTAGGCCATATACGCGGTCTGTAACTAAAGCTCGCATTAACCAATATTTTATCCTCTCGATTTCAGTTGGTTGGTATTTGGCTGGAAATTCAGCAAGAAAATCTAAAGACGCTTGAAGTGCGAGTTATGTTTCAAATTGATGTATCTTAGCATCACGCGGAACAGTTGTTTTAGTTCAGTTTTCTTTAAACAAATTATGGTTTTCAAAATTTGAAACCTGTACATGTTATTAGTAGTTTTCGCCTGTAAAATGAAAACTGCCAGATTTTATTTATTAAGTTCTTCAAAGAAAATGATTTTTATTTTAAATTAGGTTTTTTTCTGGTGATCTTTTTCCAGTCTGTAAGAAGAACAACCTCATCATGCTGATAAAATGAACATTCATCTAGGTTTGTACTAAAAGGAGCTTATCTTATGTACTACTTTTTGGTTGACAGCCTTGATAGATTGAATAAATAATTCACGCTTATTATACAGGCAGAAGAGCGATGCCTAGAGGATGAAATGGAGCATCACGGAAAGATAAGAATATAAATATTTGTATGTTTAACCTGGAAATCATTATTTGCATGTTTAACTTTGAGTTTATTGCATACGTCATGTAAGATCACTTGATTCCGTTCTTCTTCAGCTCTCACCTCTCATTGCATATTATTTCCTACAGCCCTACAGTAAGACTGTTACCGAGCTATGCATCTTTTGATGCAACTTGATACATGGTCTTATTTCCCTTTCTGATATAGAAGGGGTAGTAACCTTTGGGTACTAGAACAGCCTCTATATCTTAGCTCTTCTCAGCTATATGCTCTAAGGAATTGATGTGGGTCCACAAAAATTGAAAGATCATGCATCTGGCATGAAGCCTTAATGAAAATTATCTACATCTTACTTGTAGCTTTGGTCTCATATATGACACATCCACTTCCAAATATAACCATCAACAGTATAAGGATATTATATCTAGATGGCCATCAACATTTATACAGAATAATGGTGTGAATATGCAAGCCACATTCCTGGACCTATTCATTTGTTAGTATCACTCTGCGTGGCCTAAGGCATTTTAATAGGCAAAATATATGATTCATCTTCAGCTACTAGAATGTTAATTCGCCAGACATAATTTCAAGGATAAATTACTTTGTTTGGATGTGATAGACAATAGTTTCTCCCAATTCAGATTAATTCTTACCATTATCGAATGGAGAGATGCCTTGAGTGCCAGGAGGAGGTAAATCTTGCTAGGCACTAGGAAAATCTCTAAGGAGTATCCACTGAAAGCTCTTACCATTCTTCTTGAGGATAGGATGTGCTTTGCATTAAAGATGCTTTGGGAATCTTCATCGTGAGAAAAAAGGTAAAGCAAAAAGAGAGGAAAATACACTGGATACAGAATTGGAAAAACCATCACCAAATCTCACTTGTTGATTCAAGCAAAGATACCAATAAGAGAAAAATCTCCTTAGAGATCGTCTTGATTTGTCAGCATGCTCATTTGATGAACCTTCCACGAGTGTGGCGCACTCTTACTTAGATGATTCATGTGAAAATCTTATATACCAAGAGCTCTTAGCTTCGGCCCTTAGTTTTATCATGTACTAGTTTTCTAGCATTTATGGGTTTAGGTCGACAGGGAACCTTCAAAACGTGAGTAACTGATTCAAACCAATGAATTCAAGTAAGGATTAAATCAGATAACTGGTTGGCCATCTTGACCAGGTAGCTCAAAATCTCATCATTGCTGTGTGGACCATCATCGTCATCATTATCCGTTATAATACTTGGTGAAGTATGTAATGAGTTCTTCTATGATTGTTAGTTTGAGTCTCATCTCATAGCATGTATAATCATTACTCTCATCATATACAACAGTCAATCTAACCTTAAAGAACTTAGTCTGGGGTCCATTCACAGCAGAACTATTTCCACACGATATCAGTGCTTCTCTTTCTTACTTAGTTGTCAAATCTCTTGCATTCTAAGCTCATCTTCAGCACAGTGCTGTCAGTATCCTTAACTGTCTGGACAGTTCAATAGAATCTTTTTTATCGTCCTTGAATGAAATGGACTGTTGGTTGGATCTTAACCTTGCAAGGAACAGTCGACAGGGATAAATCAAAATGGATAAACAGCAAGTCTTTTCTCCAACTCCAGCAGCAAATAGATGCACACTGGATATTTACTTTGTTTTTTGCTTTTTTCCTTAAAAAAAAATCCTTGCTTTTGTTAGGAATAATGAAATACGTGTGGACCATCTAATCGAGTTTGTCAGGTAAATATTATGAGAGTTCGGGTCAGTGTGATCATAGAGCCTAATTTTAGCTTTCAGAGATGATTTTTATTTTTGACCTGTCTATACAATAAAATCTTTCTTGATCGCTACGGATGTTGACAGTTAGATTGAGAGTTAGGTTCAGCAACCATGCGAATCTGTGATCATATTTAAACCCAAGGATTCAACCTTTCCACTTCGCTCTTAATAGAGTGATGCCCACTTTGCATTCGCAGGATCCTTTGACAGACAAATAGAAATTTATTATTGATCCTACACAGTGGTATTTAGTTATAACTTATAAGTATATTTAAAGTATATACTCAGTATTAGCAGGTGCTTTTAGGTGTCTGAAATTTGAATTTTCTAGCTAATGTATCTTGAGGTCTCTTTATATTGGTTCAAGGTTTCAATTTAGGGCACTCGTCTTAGGATGTTAGCCAATGCTACCAAGCAAGTAACCGGCTGTATTGACCTCGTGATGTTTATCTGGAGATATGTTTTGGCATTTTACACCGCACAGTTCTGTGTTAGAATTTAGTTGGAAAGTTTTGTGCAATGCTAATTGTACTGCTAGTTTGGTACCACCTTGGTATTAGTATTTCGCTTTATGAGTTATTGACTTTCGATAGAATTCCAAGGAAACAAAAAACCCAAAGAGGACACACGATGCCTTGCCTCCTCCTGCTTCGTCCCATTAATTCTGGTCTGAGAAGCACTCTAGTAAAAGAGAACGTCCACGGGATGTTTATCTTGTGTCAATACTCAAATAAAAAACATTTTTTGTATCTCCCCTAAGTTTTTTTTCCGTCGTAGTTTCTCACTGTTGTACTTGGCCCACCAAATCATCAAGAGGTCCTCTCATCTTCTGCCTAAAAGTCACCCTTTCTTATAAACATGTGCTCCTAATTACCTCAGTATGCCACTTGAAAACTTGTTTGATACTGAAGCCACGCTCAAATATGGAAAGTTGCAATTAAAATAAGACCAAAAACCTCACGGCATCCCATGCTGATATTGTGGGTCCTGTAGATGCCTTGCCATTAGCTACCTACAAAGGGATCCAAACCTTATCACAGACACAAGGGATAATACTTTGCCTGCCAAATTTATTCCCAAAACCAATAAGAACTTCTTTTATCTTCCTGCACAATCACAAGGAATTCAGAGATTATCCACCCTCTCGCCTCAATGTTGACTGAACAGCCCACTGACGGTGTAAAGAGGGACGGATGAACCAAGGTCACTTTCGAAGTAATGACCAGAAGGGCATTTTTGTCAGAGTCAAAATATCTGAGGAACATTCTATTTTCCATCCCTTCCAATTAGAAATTCGCAATGCAGGTACCATTTCTCCTCCCATATAAATAGAACCTCCAGAGTTCAAGTCTCTACATCCGACAGCCTTCCTTACTCTATTACCTTCTGCAATCTTGCTCACCTTCCCGCTCCTCTCAAGCCTTTCCCTCAAACTCCCTTGGTTCTAAGCACTTAACAGACATTTACGCGTTAGCGCTGTATCAGGACTTTAGCACTACATTTCGTTCCAACTCCCTATACATCCACATTGTACGTTTTAGACTTTATTTACTTGCTGAGATGGACAGAGTGACGAGGTTGGCCTCACAAAGAGCGGTAGTGATCTTTAGTTTGAGCTCTTGCTGCATGTGTCACTCGGTCAAGAGTCTCTTCTGCGAGCTGGGAGTGAATCCTGCGATCATCGATCTCGATGAGGACTCCAAAGGAAAGGAGATGGAGCAGGCACTTGCTAAGCTTACTGGTCGAAACCCCGCTGTGCCTGTTGTGTTCATTGGTGGAAAGCTTGTGGGGCCCACTGATAAGGTCATGTCTCTACACCTTGAAGGCAATCTCCTTCCCCTTCTTAGGGACGCAGGAGCTATCTGGCTCTAATACCTCGTTATAAAATATCGCGGCGAAGTTCTACAACAAAGAGGAGTTTTTTTTTTCTTTTGTTGCATGTAAGGTATGGGTAAAATTGTAAAAATAAACAGTAGAGTAACTAGTTCTGTAGAGGAGCTAATGTTACTTTTGTTATGGTTTATGGTCTTTCTCCTCTTTCGTGAAGTAAATCAAGAGTGGTGTTGTTCTCTCTCTCTCAATATGTACATTTTGTTTTGAATCAATGCTTTTGAAATGGTTAGTAAGGTTTTTACTATCTCACGCTTACTCGCACTCTACGATTCTTCTTCTTTTATCCATTTGATGATTCCTTATGATATCCACGAACACTTGAACAAGACAACTGAGATCGTTAAAAATCTTTGATTAAAATGCTATAATCTTTTTTAAGCTCCATTAAGGAGTTAATGGTTAGAACTTTCCGATATAAAATGCATACTTTCCATCCAAAGTTTGTTATATCACTTTTGTGATAATGGAAATATTCATTTCTTACACCAATGAAATGGTTCTGCATATAAACACATAATTCACTCACCTTCTGGAGGCCACCAGCTGAGAGCAACACTTCAATTTGACATGATACGGTATCAATAAACTTGGCGTAACTTTTCCCTTATTTTGAGTTGGCTTAGAATTTTACTGTAGGTTCCATCATTTAACTTTTCTAGATATGGTTTAGACTCCAAGCAACCTAAGGCATAAACCGTTATCTAGCAAAGTCGATTTTTATTCTTTGTTGTTCCACTGTAGATCCAAGCAAACTTTCGGGTCGCGTTCTTCATCTGGAGGCCAAGGATATGGAAAACATACTGCACAAATATTGCTGGTATATGCATTTTGTGATACATCCCCATAAGTTTGTGATATAAAGTACCGGTATTCATGCATGTTTTTGTTCAAAATACTAATCCTCGAATCTTTGTGTGAACAACCATTATCATCAAAATGCCTGAATCCCTCAACCTGTAAGCACAAAAGCAAAGGAACCAAGCGGAATGCCACTTCATCGGTTTCCCCTGTATTCTCCCATATCAGAAACTTCGAAAAGGCATGCAAAATTGGAAATGTCAGCAGTGTAACAGTGAAAGAGGAGTATGTGCATCACTTTCCCTGCCCACATGTACAGTTTCTGTACCTTAGAGCCTCGCTATGCGACGAAGAGAGGGCGATGTTCCTCCACACTCTAAAGAGGATTCTTTTTCTCATCTTTACAGGCATAGATAGGTTCATGCTGTTATCAGCCAAAGTGCCCTTATGTCTTTTTCTGGTGACGGATGAGGATGGTGCAAATAGAGTGGTATCCATGGAAAATTACTGCCAGTCACTTCATTGTTTGTCCTAGATTAGATGCTGGCAAAAATGTGCAAGTTTCCTCATGCTGTAACTCAATTCAAGTAGAAGTTTTGAGTTTATGAACGATGTTTCAGAAAGAGTTATTTGCACTTAGGTACCCCCGTGTATACATCATTTTTAACTTTGACATCCTGAAGTTTTTTTTTTAGATTAGCTGCGGATAGACCTCATGTATTGTCACCCAATTGCAGATAGAAACTCCTGTAGTTCTCTTGTTGCAAGTAGACATCTCCCCTTCCAATATTCATAATGAGTTGTATCAGAATTTTTCTGGGGATTCCTATTGAGAATGAAGCAAGCAGAAAGAAGAGCTTCACCCCAGAGATTTTCAGGTGCTCCTGAACTGAGTAACATATAGTTCACCATGTCCATTAGGGTTCTATTATTTCGTTCAGCTACCCCGTTAGACTGTGGTGTATAGGGAGTAGTAACCTCATGAATAATATCGTGTTCTTGGCAATATTCTGTCATATGATTTGAGGTATACTCCCCCCCCACTATCAGATCTTAGAATCTTGATCTTCCTGTCAAGTTGATTCTCAGATTCAGCTTTATACACCTTAAACTTATCTAAGACTTCATCTTTAGTTTTGAGAAGATAGGTGTAACAATATCTGGAGTGATCGTCTATAAAAGTCAAAAAATACCTCCTGCCCCCTCGGGTGAGAACTCGGTTTGAGTCACACACATCATTATGAATTAATTCGAGGGGTTCGGAGTTTCTAGTTATAGACTTGAAGGGTTTTTTAGTGTGTTTCCCTTGAACACAGATTTCACACTTAGATGAGGGATCATGAGAAGATTTAGGAATGAGGTTTAATTTACTCATTCTCTGCAACGTTTGAAAATTAACATGTCCAAGTCGTCCATGCCAGACATCACAAGATTCAACAATTTGTATAACAGAAGACTCAGAAATTTCATTAGAACTGGAATTGATTACATTGAGTTTGAAAATGCCATTGCAGATAAAACATTTTCCTATGAAAACATTACTCTTTGTAATCACAAATTTATTGGATTCTTTACAATCCTATAACCAGCTCTAAGAAGAAGAGATTCACTAATCAGATTGCGACGGAGAGAATGAACATGATAAACGCCTTGCAGATGAAGAGATTTCCCAGAAGTCATGGTGAGCTCTATACGTCCACTTCCTATTATTGATTTAATGGAGTCATCTGCTAAGCTTATGCTTCCTCCACGTGATTCCTGATAATTTGAAAACCAAGAGCGGTCATTACAGACGTGGATATTTGCTTCGGAATCCAAATACCAATCAATGAAAGAAGTTAGAGAATTTACAAGATGAGATGAAGAGGCTAACCTGAAGGAGGTTGGATTCATTTCAAGCATATTAACTTTGTTGGATCCATTTCCTTTAGGGGCAAGTTTGGCTGGTTCCTTCTTCCGAAAGAAACAGTTGTGAGCCATGTGGTTGGTTCTACCACAGACAAAGCAGAACTTCTCATCAGACTTATGGCGGGAAGAATTGAGATTTGATTTGAAGGAGGATTTGTTGAAAGATTTGTTGAAAGATTGTTGATTTTTCTTAAATTTCTTCCCTTTGGGTTTGAAATTCTTAGATTTAGGCTTATCCTCTACCAAGTTTACTTTAGCTTTTGTATCATTATTGGTGTTGGAATTTTGCCTATGCTGGTCTTCAATACGAATAGCCTTGAGGGCTTCAGTTAAGGTTAGATCTCCTTGCTTGTGTCGGAGATCTCCAGCAAATCTAGACCAGGAGGGAGGAAGTTTATCAATCAAACATGAAACTTTATAATCGTCAGTAAAAGTGTTTCCTTTTGATTGGAGATGACGGAGGAAATCTAGGAATTCATGAATTTGTTCATTAATGGGCTTGTCATCAACCATCATGAACTTATTGAAGGAGGAGGAGGTGAAACGCAGAATTCCGGCATCATCATAGCCATATTCTGCTTCAAGAGCATTCCATAGGTCTTTTGCACTTTTGAACTCATAATATATGTCATAAAGGTTGTCCGCAAGTGCACTAAGAATCCTATAAAAACAATGATAGTTGATTTCTTCTGGTTTCATAGAACTAGAAAAGGAGCTAGCACCAGAACCAGAAGTGGAAGAGCAGGTTGAGCAGGATCAGGAGTCAAAGGTTGAGAACCACTAGTAGATGACTCAGAAGTGTCAATAGCAGATAAAAGACCTAAGGTAGTGAGCCAGTATTTTATCTGATTAGCCCACCGTTTATAGTTAACATCGGTGAACTTCTCAGGTTTGACACTTTTGAATGATCAGGAATTGTCATAAGTCCAATTCAAGTTTACTAGTGTAGATAGATGTAATCTGATCAAATAAAAGATTTTATCAATACTATTAGACCAGAAACTTAATTAAACCTGCTCTTAACCAAAAACTCTAAAAGTGAAAAGATTAAAGTTTTAGTCGAGTAGTTTGGCCAGGTAAGGATAGTACTAGAGGTTGATCAAAGATCTATTAAGTACCTCGTTTCTTGCAGAGCGCTTTACGCAACCCTTAAACATTGCCTTAGAAACCAACTAATCCAAGAAAACTTGAACCAGTTCACTTAAAGATTTTTTTTTACTATATATATATATGAAAAGTGACAGGTGCAGAAATTGAGTACAGAAGCAGCAAAGAAATAAATATAAATATAAATATATATATATATATGATCGGGAGCAGTCGTGATGTCACTGTTCTAGAAGATTAAGGACCCGCCTATCGCCCTGGCGCAATTTGTCCTCTCTCCCCTAGCGGTAAAAACCCCCGGAATCGGCCGGCCTCTACACTCGGGTGTGAGTCACAGAGCTTATGCTCAGACGAAAACGGTTGCCCAAAAAATAGAAATATAAAATATGTAGCCGAAATTTCTTGGAGGAATGAAGTAGAGAAGAGAAGAGAGTTTAGAAGTTCTTCTCTTCGTTGGTGTGTTTCTGAATGAGCTCCAAGCCTGCTTATATAGGTGAGGAGAAGTGTAACCCCCGCTGAATCCAAGGGACCGTTACGCACAAATCTTACTTCCGTTACCCGCATACAGCCGTTACAGAACGTGTAAAACGTGCAAAAATAAAAGCTTGAGAAGCAAAAAATGTGTGCGTGTGCGGTGCGGCGTGGCGCGCGCGTGCGGGCGAGGCGGGCGTGCTCGCGCGCGCGTGTATGGTAGAAATGCAAAGCCCACAAAATCCAAAACACTATTCAAAGCCCAATAAGGAGAGAACCATTATATACCCTATACTATTCATCTCATTTTCCAATGTGGGACTATTCACAAAGGCAAAATTGCCTTTTTATGAACAAAGCATCCAACAAAATAGTCACTAGGTCTTTTATCTGCTATTGACACTTCTGAGTCATCTACTAGTGGTTCTCAACATTTGACTCCTGATCCTGCTCAACCTGCTCCTTCCACTTCAGGTTCTGGTGCTAGCTCATTTTCTAGTTCTATGAAACCAGAAGAAATCAACTATCATTGTTGTCATAGGATTCTTAGTGCACTTGCGGATAACCTTTATGACATATATTATGAGTTCAAAAGTGCAAAAGACCTATGGAATGCTCTTGAAGCAGAATATGGCTATGATGATACCGGAATTCTGCGTTTCACCTCCTCCTCCTTCAATAAGTTCATGATGGTTGATGACAAGCTCATTAATGAACAAATTCATGAATTCCTAGATTTCCTCCACCATCTCCAATCAAAAGGAAACACTTTTACTGACGATTATAAAGTTTCCTGTTTGATTGATAAACTTCCTCCCTCCTGGTCTAGATTTGCTGGAGATCTCCGACACAAGTAAGGAGATCTAACCTTAACTAAAACCCTCAAGACTATTCGTATTGAAGACCAACATAGGCAAAATTCCAACACCAAGAATGAAACAAAAGCTAAAGTAAACTTGG